TTAACTTTTATAAATATATTTAATTTCCATAAACTTAACAGTAAATACAAATAATCAAGGACTCGAAAAATAGGCTTTACAAGGTTTTGTAAGCACAGTTTTCCATTAATGCATTCAGTGAGTTGAATTAATATTTTGTCTCAAATAAATGCTTTAATAAAACTTTATAAGTTTCATAAGAAGCAATCATTTTAAATGATTAACATTCTTGAAAAACTGGCTTAAAATTAATCTTTGGGTAACATTATTAGCTAAGAGCTGAATGAGGTGACTCTGTCTGGCTTCTCTAGTTTTCATAGTAGGTCAATAATTAACATAAAATGTTTTGTTGGAAAGCTGAAGAAGCATTCTGTCAAACTAAAGAATATAGAAATGTTAATTTTATGTCTGTTAATTTCAAACTATTATTAATGAAATTATCAGCTTTACTTTTCTTTTTAAAGGCATTTGTAATTATTGAGGCACAAGCAGTAAAAGTAATGGGGAAATTCAAATGAATGAATGGCTATAAATTTGAGTGAGACTAAACTGTGAGTACAATAACCAATATCTATTGAGAGAAAAGCACATTTGCAACAATAGAACAGTAGGTCTAATATATTCTTTTGTTGTTTTATTCTTTTTTTGTTTAACATTTGATACATATTATATATGTAATTTTTTTTGGGGGGGGGAAGTTTGAACTTGTCGTAATGCAAACATGACTTGTATTTCCATTGCTTAACACAATGTGTAGATATACACTGAATTTGACTTGTTCCCCACTTTTTTTTACCTAATATATAAGGGGCATTCAGATGAAAGTGGGATTGTTGTAATAACTCCGCCATTTGAAGAGAAAGATAACTGCACATGCACCTGTAGAGGGCACAAAGTTCTGGGATTGCATGTGATGTTGTTAGATCTCGCCAGATGCATGTGCGATAGCATTGGAGCACATTAAAAGGCATTGTTCGCATCATGGAAATGTGCAATTTTTAACAGCGGGAATTACGAGTGCTTCTGAAATTTTCATCGAAAGCAAACTGTGTATGAAATGCAGATTGGTATTCCGATGGTATACAGATTTTGGTAGTGGAAGAAGCAGTACTGACAACAGGCCATAACCTGACCAAGTGCATGTGGTGATTACCCAAGAAGCAGTTGCAGATGTGGACCGTCTCGTGAAAATGAATCGGCGAATCACCACTTGAGAAATAATGTATGAATTGTCTTTGAGCATAGTAAGTGCACACAATACTGCGTGAAAGGTTGTGATACCACAAGGTATGTGCACAGTGGTTGCCAAAACATTTGACAGAGGAGCAGAAGATTCATTGCATGTCTGTTTCCATAAAATACCTTATGCGGTACCACAAAATGGGGAACCAATTCCTCTCAAGTATTATTGCCACTGATGAAACATGATGCCATCACTTTGATCCAGCCACCAAAAGCATGAGCATGGAATGGCAACACTTTTCATCCCCATGCCCAAAAAAGCCTCACACATCCACTAGAGCTGGTAATTCATGCTAATATCCTTCTTTGACCTGAATGGCCCACTACTGTTGGAGTGGCTACCTATGGGCATGTACTGTCACTGCTGCCACATACTGTGCTACATTGCAGAAACAGAGACAGAATATCAAGAAACCGCTGATGTGGCATGCTGTCACTCAGGGTTATCCTCTTGCATGATAATGCTTGTCCTCATGTGGCTGTGGCATGCCAAACATTTTTACAGTAATTCCGCTGGGAGGTTCTTTAACACCCTCCTTACAGCCCGGACCTCTTGCCATGTGACTACATCTTCGGTACACTCAAGAAGTCTCTGATGGGATGTCGATTTGCCAATGATAATGATGTCGAAGCTGCCGTTGAAAAATTGGCTCCACAACCAACCCCGGAGCTTCTTCACCCAGGTATCCATCTTGTCATTGACTGCTGGGACACTTGTTTCAACTTACAAGGTGTCTAGCCTGTCTGTTATGTCTGTATTTCATCTTTCTTTTGTATACTAATTTATATTAATATCATTAAACCATTTCTGAAACTGACTGTAGTATCACTTTCATTTGAACGACCCATATACGTACTAGGAGGCTTACTCATGCTTTTTATGTCATGCTTGATATACATGTATATATGGGATGTTTCCATAGTTCTAGGAATTGAACTGCAATTCAGTTTGTAGAATTTATAGGCAATAATATCGGTCAGAGACATGTCTTGACATGTTTATGCCAATGTCCCATGGTAGTCTGATTCAGTTATTTAACTGATATAGGCACATTTTTTTTTAACACTGTTTTTGCAACCATGGAAGATGCAAAGAGCAATAATTTTTTGTTGAAAGTGGGTCTAAAAGCTTCAGAAATTGTTCAGTATTTGTTTCCACGTTTTAAAAAAACCTTTATGAGGTGTTTGCTTTGAAAGTTTAAGTATGCCATAAGAAGAGAGAGAGGAGACACTGAAAAAGTTCTATGAGACTAAAAAAAATTAATTTTTTACTGGCTAAGTATATTAAATTAAATGTGGAGTATGTTAAAAGTTTAAGTATGCTATAAGGAGAGAGAGAGAGAGGAGACACTGAAAAAGTTCAATGAGACAGCTTAAAATTTTTTTTACTGGCTAAGTATATTAAATTAAATATGGAATATGCTGAAAAACTGCATTGTAATACTGATGGGAGGAACTGTGCCTGAAGTCTTAGAACTTAAGAAACATCATTCATACATATCATATATCTGACTCAAGTTTCATATGCTTGAGAGATAAAATATATTAGAATCGTGACGTACCTGTTCTTTAACATGACTTGGAATTGAACATTAATGGCCCACTACTGTTGGAGTGGCTACCTATTTGCATGTACTGTTGCCGCTGCCACATACTGTGCTACATTGCAGAAATAGACTTGTTATTAGTCTATTGTTAGACCAGGAACTTATCCTATTAGTATCAAAGTGATATCTCATTTGCCTTAATAATCACTTAAATATGACAAAATTGTATCTTTTTATTTGACTCTTGAAAATTTTAATTGTAGACATTTTTGTTTTTATATGAAATTATTATGTCACACATAATTTTCTGTATTATGTATCTTTCTGCATATTATCTTTTATGTTTCTTTTGTAAAACATTTTAAACAGTACCAATGCAGTTTTTTCTTAAATATTATTATAAACTCTTGTAACACAAAAAAGAATTTTTGAGCATAAACCCCAGACATAAGTAGAGAGATAGAACAGCAAAATAAATGCTTATCTACTCTTTCTGCTGACTTATTGTATTAAGAGTTATTTTCTAAATTGATACTGCGAATAACATTAAAGGTAGAATTGGTTACACACAGTCATATACATACATATAATGTTTGTTCTGAATAGATTATGAAACTACTTCATGGAAAATTTTGACATTAAAGTGTCTTAAATGGAGTCTTTTTGTGTTATTACATTGTAAGAACCATGCATTTATTATCCAAACTTGACAAGTGTTGCCACTGCATGAAACATAAAATCTTTAGTTTAACCTCCATGCAGCCTTGCACAAAGTGTAGCTGTTTGGCAGAGCACAAGTTCTTTAATTATCCTGTAATTTAAAAAAAGGAAAGCAATTTTACAGCAGGAAATTTCTTAATAATTTAAATCTCTTTTTTTATTCTTTTATAATCTGACTGATGTAGCCTATCAGCTGCTAGGAGGTAAAACTACTGAACGTTGGTAATTTGTGTGAGTGGGCTGGCTGCATAAGTTTTTGTGAATTTCCATGTGAAAGGCAGCCCAATTTTCTTTAGAAAGTTCTTCATATGGAATCTCTTCCTCTGGGCAGATAATGCCTGGGGGCTAAGTATTCCAATACTAGTCAGTAATCTAAATATTCAAATCCAATCTAATTCATATAATTTAAAATAGTTAATTTATAATAAATATGATTCATAATTTTTATGAAAATTTGCAAAAATATTGAAGTTAATCAACACATTTAATGCATCATATATAATATATACTTTGGAACAATGTCCTTTGCTTTTTAAAATTTCTTTTACATTAGACTATCATTGCTTGCACCTTGTTACTTTTGCTTTGTTTAGCTGCTTATATTCATGTAAATTAAAATATGATGTATACTTTTTGTTCCTTCTGCTTGTAGTAAGAAATGTTGGATTATTATAATATTAATAATAATCTAATTTAAAATCCAGTATATTATAAAAAATACACTATATGAATAGACAGTAGCTGAAAATATAAGGAAAATAAATATTATATAATTAACATTATGAAAAATATCAAAATACAGAAAAAAATTGTAAATTTTTTTGTTTGGTTATAAATTTTTATTTAATCAGTAGATTTTCTTTATCATTAGATCATACTGTCATTTATAATTAGATTTCATCAACATTGTTTTCTTAGCTCTGTTATGTGCTGTACTGATCTTTTATACTTCATTTTTCCTTTTTATATCGTTATTCAGAAAAATGTTTTAAGTTGTAGTCTTGATGTTGACTTTCGAGTTAGGTTTCATCTCAAATAAAATTCTTGAAGATGTAAAAAGCAGGTTTGATAAATTAGGTTTAAATGTTTAAGATGTGCTATGTTGTTGAAAGTAGAATTTTTGCAGCATATGAGGAAATTTGTAGGCTCATTTCAATAGCATAATTTGATATAGATCACACTATAAATGAAAAATGTAATGAGCTATTTATTTTTGTTAAAAAACTATTGAAATTCTGGATTATTTCTTATTTGTAATTGTAATTTTTGTATATGCATTTAAGCATGCTTTAAAGTATCATTTCAAATACATTCTACTATTTCTATTTAAAAATTTATTAAATGCTATTTTAATGTTCCAGCAAGATTAGATATTTATCATGTCTTAACTTTTTTCACCTTTTCTAAATTAACAAAAAGATATGTTCTATATAGATAGATATAAGTGTACTTGTTCTTTAATTAAGTTTACTATCTGACAAGTTATTGATCTTTCAATTTTTGATATTTCAGGTTTCATGCCTATGCCAAATGTTGCCACAACATACCCTCCGTATCCTCCTGTTCCAGGTGGTGGGCCTGTTCCATACCCTGCTGTGTCAACAGCATACCCTCCTTACTCTGGTTAGTTCAAATTGCAGTGAGAGTAGGCCTGTTTCTGAATATCATGCTTGTGTTTAAATTTAAATCACTTGAATTGGTATTATTTTTATTTTCTGAACATAGATTCTTTGCATTAATTATTTCAAGTATGTTTTGTTTTGACTACTGTCATTTGATAGTGGATATGAATGCTCTCAAATTTTAAAATTTTAACTCGTATCTTATAATTCTTTAATTTTAAGATGCCCTTTTTTCCTGATAAACATCTCTTAAAGTGAGATACGTTTTAAAATCAAGGGCTATTAGACTTGCTGTAACTTTTCCATTTTAATCATGTCACACAACTATTTGTTTTCTTGTTTTTTCAAGAAATATTGCTGCACGAATTCTCTGTATGGTTTACAAAACAATGTGTTATATACTACCCAACATAGAAAATGCAGCATAAAGAAGGAGTGGCCAGAAAGTGATGAAATTCGGATATCAGAGAGAGACAGCAACAAACAATAAGTAATCTTTATTTCAAAATGTTATGCATAATGCAGAGCGAAAACAGTGTTCAGCTCTTTAGGTTGTAGGACCGACCACCTTGGACGTTGTTACATGAAGCAACTCGTCTAGGTACAGAGTCAGTGAGACTACGGATGTTGTCTTGAGGAATGGCTCTTCAATTCCTATCAACTATTTGCCACAATTCATCTTCTGAACATGTCAATGGCAGGATCAGCAAATGGCATCCAATCACATCTCAAATATGTTCAATTGGTGAGAGATCAGGAGAGAACGGTGGCCAGGGAAGCATCGGTACACCTTGCAGAGCATGTTGGCTGATGCGAGCAATGTGTGATCGGGTATTATCCTGCTGATAAAGTTCATTGGGCACTCTCTGAAGGTAGGGAAGTGTCACCGCTATAGCACATCATACACATATTTTTGGGCAATCATAGTGCCCTGAATACAAAGTAGAGGTGACCTGGAACCGTGCACAGTTGTGCCCTAAACCATGATGCTGTTTTGTCGCGCAGTGGGCATTCCACAATTGCTGCTGGATTGGACCTGTCTCCACATCAATGCCCCACTCGTATGTGACAACTATCATTGGAGAAACAGAAGCGTGTCTCATCTGAGGACAAGGCCCTGTGCCATTCCGTCACCCATATCTCTCGAGCCCGGTACCATTACAGATGTTGCTGCCTGTGGTCAATGGCAGTCTTCTTAATGGATGACATGAGTGCAGGCTACTATCCATCAATCAACAACAAATGGTTTTGTTTGATATGGAAATACCAGGGTGTCTTGAACATGCTGCAGAATGAATGTAGAAGTGGCTTGCGCATGCACCACCAATTGTCAACGGATGCATCGATCCATGGCTACACTCTGGCTACACTGGCACCCCTCAAACTGGCCACATTTCCTTGTTCCAACAATCATCGCCACAGTTCCAACCATCACTGTGAATGTGTCGAGGTGTGTGTCAGCTGAGATTTGCCATACGGACCAACCTGCCCTTCTCAGTCCGATAACCATGCTCCTCATAAAATCGCCTGTCTGCTGGAACTACCTCTGTTGACAATGATTTGGTATTCACTATTATTACACACATTCTCTGAGACAAGAACAAATTTTCTATGATGATTTCCCTAGCAGAAATAACATCACAAAAATTTAACATTTGGCAGATTCTTTCCCGTATATCTTCTTCATGCACTGGAAAGCTGCACTTTACTTAACTCGATGATGTGCATTTTCTGAACACAGATTCCCTGAATTCCCTGCATTTTCTGAAAACTTAAATTTGCATAATTTTTGGGCCACTCCTTCTTGGTGTTGCATTTTCAATGTCATGTAGTGTATAATATAGAAGGTAAAGGTGACTTAAAAGAACCTAAATTGACTTTAAATGCAAAGTGGGGTCTGATATTAAGGTGTAAATATTAAAAGGCAATAAAGAGGTGTGTTCTGTTTTGATTTGGAAGATTCATGCATTATCATAAAGAAGTCTGGAATATTTGTTTCCATGGCAACACCACAAATGCAATAATGTGATCAGTTTCTTTGGTTTTAATCAGGTTCACGGGCAGTAGGTTACGTATCGTGATAATACCAATAAATGCTCATCTAATATTACAATATTATTATCTAATAATTTCATAAACTTGCCAATACATTTAAATGCAATTTAGTCATACATTAAAATTCAAAATATTTAATTAATTTAGATGCTTTCATTCAGTGTGATATTTTGTTTAAACTGCCCCTTAGATTGGATTTATTCCAATTAATCCACCAAAATTATTATTAATTTACATTTTGTATTCTTTAACAAAGAATATACTCTGACAACATGCAGATCTTATTCTGATTTTGCAGTTTTCAGTGACAGTAGGTTAGAAATTCAGAAAAATCAAAATAATTTTATTTGATGTAATGAAAAAAATCTTACAAACCCTGATAAGCAAAGTTAAGAAGGGAAAAGTTTGTTTTCCATTTGAATGTCCATATCGATCTTTTAAAGGAAGAAGAAGTGGAAAATTCTATGTTTATTTTAGACTATTTTGATTTATTTACCAATAAATTTAAACAAGGATAAATTATTAGTGAATGCCATTTCAGAATATTCATTTAATCAGTCTATGTGTAATATGCAAAGATAAAGTTTAGTCTTATTTTTTTATTATTATTTATCAAAACTGCAAAATACTATTACTTATTTCTTTGCAACAAAACTCAGTTTATATTAACTGTTAATTGCAACTTTTGCATAGTGTATGTTCTATTTAATGTTATTTATGTGTATGATAGTTTTATGAGCAAGAATTGTATGTTAATTGAATGAAAACACTATACAGTCAAAAGTCGTTAATTCACACACCCATAATCCGGACCTCAAAGCTAAAAACTTTCTGCGCATGCACCGCGTTGACACCTGCGGAAGGCGATTACGCGTGCGCGTAAGACCTTTTACGTCTGCGCATATGCATGTGCGCAAGTGCAGAATACGTTTTCGCGTGCGTGTTTTATGTATAACGGACGGAATAAGCTAAAATTATCTAATTATCTATTTCAGTTAATGTTGATGATTGTGTTGTTCCTTAATTTTCGAATTGGATCCGGCTTATTATTTTTTGCAGACTGTAAGAGCAATACTATAAAAGTAAACTTGAACTTTCGATTATATCAAATAGAATTTTCGATGCTGGAGCTCCCAAACGATCTACAAAATGAAAGTATGTTTCGATGTCCATCAAACAAAAAGTGGAATTGCTGCAAAAAATGGATAAAGACATGAAGAAGGTGACAGAGAGGTTAGTGAAAACGAAAAAATTTCGATTGACAAGTTAGTCGGTATTCTCGGCACAGCAATTACTTAACTTGAAAAGCGGAACTTTGTAACTGAACAAGAAATTATGTCTGTTTATAGAATTAAAGAGAAAGTATTATAACATAAAACGAAGCAACTTAAACAACTTACATTGAAAGAAATGTTTAATAAAGTAAACAAATAAATATTAAGCTTTTTTTTTTGTAAATTTTGATACCTTTTAGATCATAATTGTTCTTTATTTCATAAATTACGGTTTCATATTTTTAATTTTAGAATTTCTGCATGCCATCTTACAAGATTTAAACTGATGATCTATAATCCGGAAAAATCGATAATCCGGAATCGCCGAAGTCCCGACGAGTCCAGGTTAACGACTTTTGACTGTATAAGACAAATTTTATAATCTCTGTTTAACTGCAGTAATTTGTTGAAACTTGTTTTCCAATAGTAATATAATCTAAGAATAACCTAAAATTCTTGTAGGTGGCTATCCTGCAGCCTCTGGCTTCAGTTATGGTAGTTTTAATGCTGCCACTGGAGGTATGCCATCAACAAACAGTTATCCTGCTAACTCTGCCACCCCTCCTTATCCAGCAACAACTGCATCCAGTATCACTCAGCAAAGGGGAATGGGTACAATTACTGAAGAGCATATTCATGCTTCTCTTTTATCAGCTGTTGAAGATAAGCTGAAGAAACGCTTGCGGGAAGTTTTAGCTCAATCCCAGGTATATTACTGTAATGATTATTATTTTTATGTTTTGAATAGCTATTAATTGTGAAAGCACATTAATGACAATTTACTGTAAGAATATCAGTATTTGATGTTTTTCCTATTAGAAAATGGGCTATATCAGTTTCAGCAAGTTGAGAAGAATTTTATCATAATGCTGTATTATAAAAATCTTTAGCTATTTTGTTGGCCCAGGTGTAAGATCTCATGTTTTCCTTAAAACACTATTCTAAAACATAAATCCATATTATATGTGCAGCCTAACTCTTTTTAAGGGGTCTGTTAAGATGATATGTCACCTGGCTGTTAATTTTTGTATTAAAGGAATCATATTTGTTAATTTTACTATGAGGTAATTTTTATATTAAAGGAATCATATTTGTTAATTTTACTATGAGGTAATTTTTATATTAAAGGAATCATATTTGTTTAATTTTACTATGAGGTATAATATTTTGATCATTTAGCTACCATTTTTTGTAGAACAGTGGTCAACAAACTCATTAGTCAACAGAGCCAATTATCAGCAGTTCAACTATTGATATCTCTTTTAAGAGGCACATTTTTTAAACTTAAATTATATAGGAATTGTATCATTTTGAACTTCTGGAATTTTTCGAAAGAAAGTCTCAGCCAGTTTGGCCATATACTGATAAATTTCAAGAGTTTTGAATTTGTAGTGCATGAACAAGTTCCTAATGAACCACCAGCAGTTCACCACTTCCCAAAGTATTTTATTTTGAGCAGTTTGGAGCTTCTTCATAGAACTTTTACAGGCATAAGTCAGAATGGTCTTGTAAATGAGTGTCTTGTTTTCAGTAGAAAGAACACTGTTTCGAGCTATTAGAGGAGCAAGTATAAGTTTATGCAATTGGAGCTTGGCAAGAATTTGTGCGGTGTGTGGGGACCAAGAGAGCCAGTAGTCAAGAATAACACCTAAATATTGGGCCTGCTTAGTAGTCAGTCATAAAATGAGTGTGTCGCATCGAGGCAGGGACACATTCAAACACAGATGTCAGTGTTATTCTTTTAGGTACAGTGGTACTGAAATCAGTACAATGGTACATTAATCAATCCATCAATAAAAATTTTACTCGAATCAGTACGATGGCAATTTTAACTTGATATACCAAATAATGTAAAAATGAGAAATTTTGTGTCAAAATATCTGGTTTTGAAGCTTTAGACGTTTCCAATTTGATTTTTTTTTTTTTAAATTTAATATCATATGCAACCCCAGCATCGTTTATGTATTTTATGTTGCCTAAATTCAGTTGCTAGGAAAATTTTTGTATCAGACACTGGAAAAAGCTTCAAATTTGACAGGTCTAGAAGCTAAAAATCCTGATATTTTGAAACTAAATTTCATTTTTACGTTATTTGGTTTCTCATTCAAGTTAAAATGCCAGCGAATGGTATATTAGAATTTCATTAGTTAAAATTTGGCATATGATAGTTACTACAACAGCACAATTTGATGTATAATTAATACAGTCAAAATGCCGAAATCGCTACAAAAAAAATTCTTTAGAATAATATTCGCAGATATATTTTCTGTTGTTTTCATGCTTGTGTAAAATTTGATAGCCTTTGTGTTGTATTTTTAAGATTTTCTTGCTTTTACGTGTGCAAACACTCATGACTATTTTGTGAAAGAGCCACAATTTGCCGACCACTGTTGTAGAACATCGTAATATACATATCATGTACATGAGGTTATCTTATTATATAAATGCATTCCTCGCCTTCTAAAACACTTACAAAAGTTCTGGGTCCTATTATATGTAAGTCTATCTTACATTGAAATCAGTATGCTGTCGTAAATCCTGATGGTATTACTTCCTTTTATCAGCACTATTACTCTAGTAGTATTTTAAAACACTGCAAGGTTTGGGATCTTTATTATTTTAAATTTTATGCTTTTGAAGCCGAAATTTTAAATTCTGAAACTTATCTCAAATCTGTTTTAGATTTGTATAAGCATCAAAATTTTTTGTTATAGTTTCGTCATCAGGACTGTATGAAACTGCGGTCAAAATATATGTGCAAAAAACACCAAATCTAGCAAATGTGCCCATTTAATCACAAATTGTGCATAAATGTAGATTTCTTTAAGTATGTGTGAATTTAGCTGTACTTAAATTTAGATTGTTCTAGATTTTTAAGCTGCCATTGAAATATTGGTTTAAGCTTTTTAGTAATGCTATGAATCTTAACAATTTGTTTATACCCAAGGATTAAAAGTATTCTAGAAAAATTTTTCAAAGAAAAGGCATCCTTCATGATTGAAAATTATGCTTAACTCCTTAACTGCCACGGGCATATATATACGCCCTTCCAAACTACTATCATTTGCTTTGCGCTGCTACCCATAAAATTATTCACGAAGCTTTGGAATGCAACACCACAATGACCTTGACAAAGTATGCGAAGGAGGATACTATTTCAGAGAAATTGGAGAGAGGGGTGTGTCTAAAGTGATGAAAGTAATGACTGCACAGTATTGGCTGGTGTTTGAGTAAAACATATTCTGTGTCTTCCGTTTTTGTTTACTTTTTGTAGTAGGTTCCATAATAAAGAAAGATATAACGGATGTTTGAAACCCATTTATCTTTTTTGAATTATTTTTTTATGAACTTTTCGTGCTTCATACTGTTACTGAAACTAACCGTTTTGTAGACGAGTATATGAACCAACACCTTGCAAACGAAAAATCAAGAACAAAACTGTGGCATTCAACCAGTTCAGAAGAAATGTGTGTTTTTTTAGCATACTGATTTCACAAGGTATAACACTGAAACCTGCTATTACACTTTACTGGTCTAAAACTGAATTGATCGCAAACTCCATTTTAGGGATCTTTTTTATTCAAAACCTCATTTTTATTTAACATCTTTTATTATACTTTTTCAACATTAAATTTTATGGCATTCTTTTATTCTTATTTTTTGAAAGTAACATTTTTAGAAAGTAAAGCTTCACTTATTTCCCCTACCTAGATTCGCATAACTACACGCGCCGTGTGAAAAACCGTGGCACTGGGAAGAATCTTGTATCTCAAAGTACCGTAACATGAAACTTTCGTTATCACTTCCTAATCTGAGAATTTAGACTTGGTTACTTTAAATTTCCTTCGGTAAATCCGCTGACGAAGAAAAGAAATCCCCTTCACCCAAAACCAACTGAAACGTATGAAAATCATTGTGTCCTGGAGGGATTTGTATGCTTTTGTGAACTCCAACAAAGGATGAGTCACAATACAACTGTAGACTGGAACAGTTACATGCATGAAATGTGTGCCATTGATTTAATTGTTAAGTTTAATATTTTATTATACTCAGTTACTTGTGTAAAATTTTAATATAATATATGTGTAAAACAAATGTGTGGCTGTTTAAACATAGTCATATCCTTAGATAAGTTTTTTTCCCTTCCGTTATTATTAAAGCCATTTTTTTATGTAACAAAGAGATATGTACTTTGGTATTACAGGCGGAAATAGAAGTTCTGAAAAAAACTGAGGAAGATTTGAATAAGGGCAAATCAAAATTAGAAGATATTATTGCTCAGCTGCAACAAGAACAGGTAACTGCTTTAAATACAAACATTTAAATTATCAGTGAGTGAGTGAGTACATGATGAAATGAGGCATAAAAGAAAGAATCTGTATAAAGCTGACTTAGTAAAATTTAAATTCTTTGAAATATGTGGGACTATTATTATAAGTGTAAAATGGAAATGCTTCAAGAAGTTTTATAATTTAATGCTAATTGCGTAGAAACATTTATGGAGTTGGTTGTAATCTTGAATTTGTTTTATGATTAACTTAAATATTAAATTTTGTTTGATAATAATGCATTCTACTTGCAGATTTATTTTATTCTCACAAATTGCAAAATTTAAGTTTGGATGTAGATAATTTCTTTAGCTTTTTCAGGTCATATTTGCTGATAGGTCCATATTTTTTTTTTTCCTTTTTCATTAATGGTCCTAAAGTGTCCTTAAAGGAACATTATTTCCACTTGCAGAAAGATGCATGAATCCTGTATATATGTTTGCAAATAAATAATTATAAACTTCTTTATTTCTTACACTACAGCTTGGCACTTCATACCATTTTGATTCTGATAAAGTTTGTAGCTTTGGAGAAAAATTACTAGAAATTATCTTCATTGTGGATTGTAGATGTTTCGTAGGTGTTCATTGGTCAGTTAGGTTCTTTTCTTATTAATTTTAAAGTAAAAAAAAAAAAAAAAAAACTACATATTCTTCCAAGAAAACAAGAAAAGCAACACTTCTGATTGCAAAAATTTATAACCGAGTTTATTTATCCTTTGACAGGTATGAATAAAAGTTATTTAACCATGTCTTCGGATTTTTTAATATGATGTAAATTAATAATCAATATAAATAAATTAGCACCATTTATAGATTTATTTATTGCATTTATTAATTTCATTCTTTTTAATAGTTATAAAAGTAATATAAAATTGAGCTTTTATTGTTATAATAATAATACTATTTACCTTGTATGTTCTCAAGATTCTTTATTTGAAAAGCATGTTTTAAGATTAATGAAATATGCAAGTTTTTTGTTCCATTTGTGCTTTCCATAACTGCATTTTAAAAACTTTAATACAAGCGTAGATATCAATGATAAATTTACTCTTTTCTTGCAGCCTTTTATTGAGAATATTTAAGGCTCCAGTTAAGTTGACAGAAATTGCTAAATCTGTTATCCAAATATAATTATTTAGCTTGTTGATGGTTGTATTTTTGTTGAAGGGGCTGTCACGAAATTTTTTGTTTCATTTATTAAATCCTGACAACGTTTTCATAGAACTCCTTGACTTAACCACCTCACCAAATTTTAATAAATCATTGCTCCACACTTCATTTTGAGTTTCCTCAACCAATGCAACAAATTTTTGATGATTCAGAGCTCATCCATGGATGTTGTAGTTGCCATTTCCATAGCATTATGCATCTGCTAACTTTTGACTCAGTACTTCTTGATGAATAATTAAAATGTATAATGTATAATGAAAAAATTATTCCTAAACTTTTGTCTGTCTTTATTATTATTATTATTATATTATTTTTCTATTTTCTTACCAATTATGGCTGCTGCATCATCACTTGCAGATTCAACTATTTTATCTTATCTTAATTTATATTTATTTTTTAATTTCTCTATCAGGAAAAATATCCTACGCACCATTTCTTTCCTTTCATAGGAATTAAGTACTTATAAAACTGAGAATGTACTGTATCTAATAATAATATCTATTTCAAAGACTTCATAATGTTTCTCATGCAAATTGACTTCATAAATTACTTTCTAGAGGTGTGAAAAAAAGTCATAATTGCTTTGAATTTGTGTCTTTAAGAGTCAAATGGAAAAGAACATACATATTTTGAGATCAAAAGAAGAAGAAATAAATGAGTTACTTGCAAAAGTGGAAAATCAAGAGGAAGTAGATATTGATGAAGCTGTTGTTGCTCCAGCTCCACTGTATAAACAGTAAGTCCAGTTTCTTTTCAAATATATTGAGCTTGTATGAACTTGTCCAGTTATAAATGGAAAGTACTCAAAAATGAAGTTAATCATAAAAACCAGTTTCAAGCAATAGAAATTTAAAAAAAAATGTGTATTAAAAATGCATTTAAATTTTTTATATTTGTATTCTCAATAATAATCGGAGATTTGTAACTGATCTTCTGGTGTAGGTGAAAGTAAGATTCATAATTAATTGATTAAATTTCCTTAGTACCTGACTGAATAATTAAAAAATGCTTTTGTGGAATTGGTGAGAAGATTTCACATACAAGTAATAATGGTATAAATATCAATCAAATGAAACTTGGTAGGGGTGGTAGATTTCATGTATTGGCACATGACTAACTTGTGACATTAAAAATAATGTCGCATGTGAATTTACATTGCTGGCCATTAAAATTGTTACACAATGAAGCAATAGCAATCTTATTTATTTAAATATATGTAGGAAGGAGATGCAATAATTGCAGATGATGCCAAGAAGATAACATGCAGTCTTCAGCTCTCACTAGAGTTTAGGGTAAGAGATCTGGAGAGTGCTGTCCAGTCGCAGTGGAAACTCTGAGGGTCAAGTAGCCGGCAAACTGGATGTTGACATTGTGAGTTAAGAGAAAATAATGAGCGGTTTGTTAAAATTTAGATCAGATGAAAGATCTTTTAATATATAGCATTTTAATACTATTTAGCACAGTGTAATAAGTTCATTTTACAGTACGCAACATCCTCAAAAATGATCGTTACAACGCAGTTCGATCATCCATCTTTTCTGAACAACAATCTCTCTCGTTGCCATTCCGTAACAGAGAAACTTACCTCTCATGGAGTTCGATAGTGGCGCGACATTCTCCCCACCTTGAGTTTGGGGATACAAACTCAAAACAGTAATATAATGATAATACATACATACAATTTTGAGATAACAATAACGTACATAATAATAATAGAAATATTTCAAAATATTAGAATGCAAATTGAAATCAATATTTTAGAGTTCAAACACAGAAAGTTCAAAAGTTTGTTTAGAAGTTTATAAATCCAGTCTTTTAACTGGTTTTATTTTTCGTCCTGAGCGAGACACGCGAACAGTTTCATTAGAGTCAGTATTAAGCTCAGGATTTTCAGCTACCACTTCCGGAACCTTCTGAGGTTCCGATACGACTTGCTCGTCGTAATTTGGGGTCAATTCCAAAGGATACAGTCGTTGGATTGGTCTTAATATGTTTCCCTTTTCAGTTCGCAGTTTCACAAGTCTGATGATTCCATCTTTTCCTGGAAAGAGTTCCAGTACTCTCCCTAGCAGCCAATGGAGCCTTTTTTTATCATCTGTACCAATTAACACTATGTCACCTACATGTATTTTATCTTCTCTTTTGTTAACTGAAGAACGAAGGAAACCCAGATACTCCCTTTTAAACCTTCGTTTTAGATTTTCACGAACCTTTTGAATATGTCTCCATCTCAAAACAATATTAGTCTTTTCAATTTGATCCAAATCAGGAACATCATTTAATGGAATGTCCTGAAGAAACATTGAGGGGGGTCAAGGTCTTCAGATCTTGTTCCTCGGATATGTAAGTTAACGGTCTGCTGTTCATGATAGATTCGCATTCACAGACGAGAGTCTGCAATTCCTCGTAAGACAAACAGGAGCGTCCAAGATTTTTTCTCAAAAGATCTTTCAAAATCCCAATCAAGCGTTCCCAGAAGCCTCCCCACCATGGAGAGGAGGGTGGGTTAAACTTCCAACGAATTTCGTTGACTCTAAATTCACTTTCAATTGTAGTCCAATCTAATTGTTTCAGAGCATTATTTAGTCCTGTAAAATTAGTACCATTGTCTGAATACATCACAGAAATTCGTCCTCTTCTGGCTATAAACCTACGCATAGCTTGGATGAAGTCATTGGTACTCAGTGAAGGTATTAGCTCAAGATGGACAGCTCTAAATACGGCGCAAGTAAAAAGTACTATCCACACCTTTTGTTTAGATTTAGTCAACAGAGGTCCAGCTATATCTACACCTGATACTTGAAAAACTGCTGCTACTTCTGTTCGGTCTTTTGGAAGAGGCGGAAAAGGTACCTCAAGATGTTTTTACCTTTTGCCTTTTACATGTTAAGCATTCTTTGATAACACTCCGGACAGTTCTTTTCCCTTTCACTATCCAAAATCTTTCCCGTAAAATAGTCAGTAGAGTTAATGTCCCAGCATGCTTGTTAGCAATATGTTCTTGGGCTATAAATCTTCTCACTGCCAGGTGTTTCGATGGTAGAATTATTGGAGAAATAAAATCTTTCGATTCTTCCTCATTTATCAATCTGGACTTCAATCGTAAAATTCCTTCTTCATCTTCAAATATTAGAAGACCTTTCAAATTTTTTCGTGTTTCTTCATTGGAGTAACATTCCTTTTGTATTACACGGAAAATAGTCCTTTGTGCATTTAACAATTCTTCATTTTGAAGTTCCTTACATTTTCTTAAGTCCTTGGCCTTTGGTTGAAAACGCAGTATCCAAGCCATAACCCTAATCATCTTTGAAAATCTAGAGAATCTTCTGGCTAACTGTAATGGAATTGACTCTAGCTCTGTGTTACTAGCAGAGATGACTGACTTTCGTTTCTCTATCTCTACTTCTTTTTCGTTAATATTTACAGCTGACTTTGGCCACTGCTCCTTCGGATTCTTCAACCAGGCTGGCCCTTGCCACCACTTGCGTTTCTGAAGTTGCCTAGGTCCACAACCTCTTGACAAAATGTCTGCTGGATTCTGGTCAGTTGAAATATGGAACCAATCTTCCGAAATTGTCAATTTTCTAATTTCACTTATTCTGTTTGTAACGAATACCGACCACTGTTCTCGACGAGTTATCCACACAAGAACTGTGGAAGAATCTGTCCAAAAGTAAGTCTTGATGTTGGGAAGTTTTAGAGCTTGCTTCACAGAACTAAACAGCCTAGCACCTATGGTAGCAGCCATTAGTTCAAGTCGTGGTATAGTAATAGTCTTCGTTGGAGTTATTCGTGATTTGGCTTGAAGTAATTGAACAGTCACTGAACCCATACTGGATTCACTTCTTAAGAAAATGCATGCCGCATAAGCTGTCTTGCTGGCATCGACAAAAGTATGGATACTTAAATTGGATTCCTTCATCACACCTAACCATCTTGGAATTTTTATATTTTTGAGGTATTTCAGTTGTTTTCCCCATTTTAAAAAATTCTTCTTTATTTCATCATTCACTTCACCATCCCATGATTCTTTGCTCTTCCAAGCGACCTGCAGCAAAATCTTAGGCTGAATCATAACAGGTGCAAGGAAACCTATGGGATCAAATACTCGACTAACTAGTGAAAGCATTTTCCTTTTAGTTACTTTTTCTCTTTCATCAAATTTCAAAAATTCGGTGTCTATTTCCAAGGTATCTAAATCTTTGTCCCAAACCAGTCCTAATACCGGTGATGTTTTACTTTCTGAAAATGCAGGAATGCCAGAACTTTCCCATCCTCTGAGATCAAACATTCCTTCTTTCATTACATTAGTTGCAGATTCGATGAATATTTCTAGTTCGTCATTATTTTGTACACTAGTTACGCAATTATCGACATAAAAACTATCTTGTAATTTTTTAAGAAATTCTTCAGAATATTTTTCTTTCCACGTTTCTTTGGATAAATGATGGTCAATAACCGCCATCAGCAAAAATGGACTACAAGTAATGCCAAATACCACACGGGTGTGACGAAATGTCTTCACTCTACCATCATCACCATACCAAAGAAATCGTAAAAAATCTCGATCTCTTTCATTTAGAGATATCTGTAAAAAAGCTCTTCTGATGTCTGAAATCACACCAATTTCATGTAAGCGAAATCTTGCTAGAATAGACGGAATAGTTTCAATCAAATTAATTCCAGTCTCTAAGCAATCATTTAGAGATGGCTGATTAGAAAGCTTTGCCGAAGCATCAAAAACGGGTCTAATTTTCATGGAAGATAGTGAGGACGTTTCCTTAATGACTGGACGATGTGGGAGGTAATGAACAACGGGTAAAGACAACTCCTTTTGGGGAACTTCTTCAATCACTCCTTCCTGCAGCCATTCATTAAAGACTTCATGATACCTTTCACGATATCCGATTTTTTCCAACTTCTTCGTAGTAGATTCTAGATTCGAGTCTTTTCAAAGATAGGTCATAATTGTCAGGTAAGACTGCATGCTCAACCTTCCAAGGCATATCAACCTCGTATCTACCATTTTCTAATTGACGAACTGTTTCTTGGAAATGAACCATAATAGCTCTTCTTGACTCTTCTTTAGTTTTTTGTTCAACAGGATCTCGGATACCCAATAATTCTAAGTCCCACAACGATGAAATAGGCAGGTCTTCTTGAGATAACATAGAAACTATAGTCATATTTACATTGTGCTGATGTTCGGATTGAGGTACTTTACCCATCAAAGTCCAACCCAATTTTGTTTCTATAGCCACTAAACCTGTTCTTAGTTCTTCTCGTTTGCCAGTAAATAACTTCCCTGCAACGTCTGCCCCTAACAGTACTTCAATAGGGCCTGGATTCCCTTGGGTATCAGTTAAGCGTATTCCCTTATTTCCTAATTCGCGAATCCAAGAACCGTATCTTATGCTTGAAATATCATTACAAATAACATCATGGTCTACAGCATCTAATTTACACGAATATTTACCATCAAGGCTACTCAAATAAATCTTGTAACATTGATGTTTATAAATTTCAGTTTTCTTTCCACCAAATAAAGAGTGACTAAATTCTTCCTCCCATTGCAAGTCAAAACCCATTTCTTCTGCAGTAGACTTTAAAACATAACTTTTTGAGCTACCCGTATCAATCATTAATCTAACTTTACGCCTTTTATTCTTACCCTCTATGTTCACAACTAGGGTCTGAAGGAAAACTTCATTCGTAGCACGCGAATGCAAAGAATCG